GCAGCAGCAGCAGCAGCAATAGCAGCAGCAGCAGCAGCAGCAACAGCAGCAGCAGCAGCAGCAGCAACAGGGGCGCACCACCGCCAGCAGGGAACTGGAGCCCTTGGAGGAGCTGAGGGCCCCCACCGCTCTGCATAGAATACCAGCAAAGCCGAAGGAGACAGGCTGGCGACGAGAAGCAGCAAGCGGCAGCACAGGGCGCAGCAACGCAACACGCTCGCTGCTGCTGCTGCTGCTGTTTTGGGTGGTGGTGGTGCTGCTGCTGCTGTAAGTGCTGCTGAGGCTGGTGGGGTCCTCGCTCTTGACTCTGTCTCGGTTTTCTCCATTCTGCTGCTCCTGTTGCTGCTGTTGTTGTCTATGCTGCTGTTGTTGCTGCTGCTGTTGTAGGCGCTGCTGCTGCTGCTGCAGTGAGGCCTGACGCATACTGTTTAGAACTGCTGCTGCTGCTGCTTCTGCTGCGGTGTTTGCAGCGGTGACCTCTTGCATGGAGATGCTAGCAGCAGCAGCAGCAGCAGCAGCAGCAGCTTGCTGTCGCTGCTGCTGCGCGTGCTGCGCCCTGCGAACTGCAGCAGCAGCAGCAGCAGCAGCAGCAGCAGGAGGCACCGAAGCAGCAAAGAAAGGATGACACAGGCGGCCGTCCGGCAGCAAATGAAAAGCTGCAACAAAACAAAATGCTGCATATCCATCAGCAGGGATGCAGTACTCATCATCACCAGCATCTGCTGCTGCTGCTGCTGCTGCTGCTGATGCTGCTGCAGCTGCTGCAGCAGCTGATGCAGCATCCTGTGATGGTTTTACTGCAGCACCAGCTGCGGATGGGGCTGCTGCTGCTGCTGCTGCTGTTGCTGCTGCTGCTGCTGCTTCTCCCCCCGTTGCTGCTGTGTCTATGGAGTGCCTTCTACTTTCCCCAGCTTCTGCAGCAGCAGCAGCAAGGGCAGCATCTGCTGCTGCTGCTGCTGCTTTAGCCTGTCTAACTTGTTGCTGCAGCTGCCGCAAATGCTGGAGAAGAAAACGGCGGCTTCTCTGGGCGGGAGTGCTTTGCTGCTGCTGCTGCTGCTGCTGCTGCTGTTGCTGCTGCTGGGTCTTGCTGCAGAAGGAAATGTATGCAGAAAGACATGCTGCCTGCAGCAACGGTGTACACTTGCTGCTGCTGCTGCTGCTGCTGCTGCTGCTGCTGCTGCCTTCAATAACTGCGTTGCTGAGGTTCTGCAGCCACGCCGCCCACCCCAGCAGCCAAATCTTCTCCAGGTCCTGGGCCCTTCGTATGCATGCAGCTCTCCCCTTTCGCTCTGCTGCTGCTGCTGCTGCTGCTGCTGCAGCTGCCGCTGCAGCTGCTGCTGCGGCTTCGGGATCTGCTGTTCCCTGAGGGGCATCCTGCGCAGCGCTGCTGCTGCTGCTGCTGCTGCTGCTGCTGCTGACAGTTCTTTCAGTGCTGCCAGAGGTCCAGGGGGAAGCTTGCTGCTGCTGCTGCTCCTGCTGCTCCTGCTGCTGCTGCTGCTCGTCTGCTTCTGTCTCCTCGTGCTGCTGCTCCTCCAGCAGCAGCGCCCCCTCCCCCAAGCCAAGGGCTGCGTCCAGGGAGCAGCACTCTTCCCCTGAGGCAGACGCAGCAGCTGCTGCTGCTGCAGCTGCTGCTGCTGCTGCTGTGTCTGCGTCGTCAGCCTCTGCAGCAAACTCTGACGGGGAGGTCGCAGCCTCGTTTGCTGCTGCTGCTGCTGCTGCTGCTGCTGCAGCGAGTTCTTCTAGATCCTCTTCATCAGCATCAAACTCATCTAGAGAAGCAGCATCAGCAGCAGCATCTGCAGCTGCTTCTGCTGCTGCTGCTGCTGCTGCTGCTGCATCGGGGGAGCTCTGCTGTATCCCCCCAGAATTTGGAGGCATTCTGAGGCGGGTTGGCCACTGCGAGGCCTTCTGCTGCTGCTGCTGCTGCTGGTGATGCTGCTGCTGCTGCTGCTGCTGCTGCTGCAGGTGTTGCTGCTGCTGCTGCTACTCTCAGACCCGTCCCACTGGATGCTGAAGTTGCTGCAGCAGCTTGCGCATGCAGGCAGCAGCCTCGTGGTGTGCATACACACAGCTGCAGCAGCAGCAACAGAAGCTGCAGGGATAAAGGTATTTGTTCTAAGAGCCTCAGATCCTGCTGCTGCTGCTGCTGCTGCTGCTGCTGTGCTGGGGGGCCTCGCCAGCAGTCGTGCATGCGGAGCGGACCGGTGGCAGCAGCAGCAGCAGCAGCAGCAAATCGAAGAGCAGCAGCAGCAGCAGCAACGGAAATGAATGATTAAATATTAAGAAGATGCAGCAGCAACAAGTCGTTCAATGACTATGTCTGTTGTTGCTGCTGCTG